TAATATGATTTCCAAAGAAATTTAATAATGAAGTTTTAGGACAATGAAATACTGATGATAAAGATTAATTATAAAATTTAAATATTCTTTACATTTGAAAAAAAAAGAAAAGAAAGAAACGTTTTGCCATTATGTCTCATCATCCAGTAAAAAATTAAAATACATATTTTAATATTATAAAGTTTATAGACTTTCCATTGCTTTTTTTTTTGTGTGGCTAAAAAAAGGCAAAAATTGTTTGTGCCTTTTCCTCACTTCCAGTGCCGGATTACCCATTGGGCCAGACTGGGTCATGGCCTGGGGCCCCCAATGATTAGGGGCCCCCTTAAAAAATTTTTTTTTGAAAATAAATTTAAAAAAATTAAGAAAAACAATGATTTTTCTAAAAAAAATTGATTTCAAATATATTTTAATAAAATACGATATTTTTTTTTACATAATTATTGCATAGTTTTTTACATATTTTATTTATTACTTATTTTAGTTATTAGTTATAAGTATTATTATAGTTTGTGTATGATAATATTTATCAATGTTTTTTAAGTTCAAATTTGTCCTTTTGATTTGCGGTCGAAAAAATTGAAAGTAGTACTATAGCGAGCTGAGACTTGTTTAAACAAGAAGCAAAGAATTAAATGTTGTTGACATTATTGAGATGTTTTAAATGAAAAAGAAGTTATTTAGTGCCTCAGCTAAAGTGTCATAATTTTTTTTAGTGTTTTATAATTATTTAGTGTCCGTTGTTCCATTTGATCAATAAATAATTACAAATAATTTTACTAAAAGGTAAGTGTTTGTTTATTGTTTTATATACTCTAGAAAAAACTCATACAACTGGTCACTTCCAATCAAATTTTATATATTGAAATTGTCACTGTTTAAGAGGTCCAGGATATTATTTATTTTTATTTTAAATACGCTTTCTTAAATGAAAAGATATATAAATACCTTTATATTTGAATAAATAAAAAATATACAAGAAAAAAATTTAATCTAAGGGCCCCAAAAATTTGAACGGCCTAGGGCCCCGCTTAATCCGCCCCTGTTCACTTCAAATGTTGAATTGGTTGAAAATTGAATTTTATTTTGCAAAAACTAGCTGAAAACTGTGTTGGAACGTTATATTCTAAACACTGCATATATATCTTTTGTTCGAAGTTAAAAAAAAAAAAAACATAAATAAATAAATATGTATTTATTCGGGTCACTTGTGAGTAAAAATCTGAAACATTTGTTTCATAATAAAATAGTAGATGGCAGCAGGAGTTACATACTTTGTCTATGTTTCGTTCTTAGGTAATATTTAGTATTTTAATATTCATCGGAAAGAATTTTAATAAAATAGATTAATGTCTAGTAAATTTCGAATTGCAGACAAGACAAAGTATTTTTCTTAAAATTGTAACAATAATTGCTGTTTATTATATTATTCATTGTTGCTTAACGGATGACAATTTACTTGTTTGATTACAATTTATATATGATGATTTCATTTTTTTTCCTTTTAACTGAACATTCTGTTTTCAGTGATGTCGCAAAATTCATTGACGGTGGTAATTTTATTTTTAGTTCATAAACACGCAAACAAAGTTAAATGCAATTACATCGATTTTAATATATGAAACTTTAAATAATTGTAGAATATCTCTGAGTTTTTGATATCTACTGTAAATACACATGGTGTAAATTCGATAAATGATATTCTTAGAAACACCATCAGCAAAACACGACTTAAAAAAATTATGTCTAATTTTATTCAAACATTTTATCATTATTGCGAAAAGGATTTAATTGAATCTGTAAGAAGGGTTATAGATAAAATTTTATTTTAAAATTTAGCTTTCATCTCTAAGGAAAAAAAATCCAACGAATTTTCTCAGGTTAAGTAATTTCCTTCAGTTGTTTTTTCAGAAATCTCCATATATTTTGAAGGTTTTACTTCTTCTTTAAAATATCTGCAGATTTTTCATTGACATTTCATAGTCTGTCTGAAGATTTTAAATAACGTTAAAATGTCTGTAGATTTTTCGTAGACATTTCGTAGTCATTTTGAAGACCTAACTTTTCTTTTAAAGGGTGGCAAACTTTTTAAGGGCATTATGAACTAGTAAAAGCAACTGGAATTTGTTTTTAAACATTCTTTAAATTAAGCAGATCTTTAAGATTAGAAAAAAACAAAATATGTTTTTTTTTGTAGGCATGTATGTTAATTTTATCGTATTTGATTTTCCAGGACATAAATATAGATATAATTAACAATTAACTTTTAAAAATTAAAAGATGAAAATTATAAAAATTGAATTTTATGTATTAGTAAATAAAAAAAGGGTTGATATTAAAACTGTACTATTTTCTGCGATAGACGCCTTTTTTTCATGCCTTTAAAAAGAAAATGCCTGAAAAAAGAGGCGTTTTTTTCATGCCTTTAACATAACAAAAAAAACAAAACAAAAAAAAAAAAAAACAACAACTTCGTAAAAAAAAAGAAACTTAAAATTTATATGTATTTTTCTGTAGGTTGAATTTTTAAATTATAACATAACATAACATAACATAACACAACACAACACAACACGACACGACACGACATGACATGACACGACATGACATGACATGACATAACATGACATAAAAATTAACATAATGAAGAAATCTCGATGTTTTAAATTGAAAAACAATGTATCTTTGAACCTAGTTGTGCTACACAAGTTTCTCAAAAAGAAAAAAAGAAGAAAAAGAAAAATGAAAATTTGCTAATTTCTCTAACTTTTTTAAAAGAAATAAATACTTTTAAGCCTACATTTTACAGAAAGGTTTAAAAATTCATTTTGGAAATTTTCTGTAGAAGAAAAAATCTGAAAGTATTAGACTCTCTTTTTAAGCCTACTTCTACAGAAAATTGGAAAATTCATTCTGAAGATTTTAAATCTTAATTTAATTCTGATTAATTTTATATATAAAGAATTTAAATAATCTTATACATAATTAGAAATCTCATAATCAGAAATTTTTTTAATTTGAATAAGTGTGGGGTAAGCACTGTATGAAGCCACTTAGTGCCTCTCAGCTGGGCTAAAGCCTAATTTGTTAATTTCATGACAGCCTGTATGGGGGGGGGGTCTCAGTCACGGAGCTTTTAAACAAAACGAAAGAAAAAAGGAAACAAAACATTCTAGTTAAAATAATCTGTTGAAAATCTTTTAATAATGTTTAAGAATTTTGCTGAAAATTAAAGAGAATTCAATTGTAGCAAATAAAATCTGTAGATAATTTGAAGAAAAAAATAAGCCTAAACAGTGAGTATAATACAATTTTGATTTTCCTTAGTGGGGCTAATTTAGTCATCAATTTGTGACATGGTCCTAGTTATTGATAAACATGAAAATTACTTCATATTAGATTACATTGCTTTTTTTTAAAAGTATATGTTATCATCAATATACGAACAGGTCAGTAGAGAGAATTTCGTTGGCTGTCGGTAGGGTTCAAACCAAGAACCCTCGTAGTCGTAGACAGATGCTTTAACTATAATGGTAAAGCTTGTCTGTATGTATAGTCCTGACCGAGAGGTGTGAAAAATTTGTATGTAGTAATCAATACAATACAATGCGTGACGATTTTAGGCAAAGTATGAAATATGATAATCATTATGTACTTTGCCTAGATTACGCATATATGGCTATGACAAATGTTGTTAAAGCAAATTATGACTTTATAGTCTGGTAAGTTACGACGAAATAATATTCTAATCTGTTTGTAGGCCATGCACGTTTTTAATCGTATTATACCTTGAGGGTCAGTTTTTGGCATTGCAAATAATGCCGGATTTCCAACTTTACCGGCTATAAATTTTTTTTGCCTTTTTCTGTAATTTGAATTTTTATTTTATATTATGACCGTTGTTAAACAGCCGTCCAACTCTGAGTGTACGCCTATCACTGTTCAACTCTGTAACCTTGTAATTTGAACCCTACTCAGAAAAGGGTTCTGCTGAATCAAGCATAGGGAGACAAACTGGCTTTCGTAAGACTTTTGGATCAAACTGACCTATGATCAGTTTACCTCTGTCGTGATACGTCTACCAAGGGATTCTAACTCATGATCCGTCTTAATCTGAGGATATTTTACGTCAGCTCTGTGGTCACTGCGACACGGTCGCAGAATTCGTATCAACCAGCCACAGCAGGGATGTGAGCCTGGGTCACCTCATTGGGTGGCGAACTCTCTATTCTCTGATCCACCGCGACTCTTGCAATTTAAAATAAGTTCATAACGTTTTCTAGTTCGTGTTATCTTTTTTTGTTATTTTTTTAAATGGGTACATTTGTCTAGGCGTAGTTGGTTGAGTGGTAATAAGGGCCTACTCACCAGTTTTTTTTTAAATATAAGGAGTGATCAAATGAAAAAGTACGAAACGACGCAAAAACGTAACAGTTAAATATTTGTATATTCCGCCATGGGAGAACGTAGCGAGACATCTCGGGATGCGATTGGAGCGTCGGGATGCGTCCAAATGATGCGGCTGTCCGTATGAAGACAGGATGGCGTTCGCGTTGCAAAATTGCTCACGGAGGGTGTGGTTCTGCTCCATGATAACGCGCGTCCACACGTCTCCAGAGTTACACACATGGAACTGGCCAAGTTCAAGTGGGAAACGCTGGATCATCCACCCTACAGTCCGGACATGTCACCCTGTGATTTCCATGTGTTTGGTCCACTGAAGAAACACCTGAAAGGGAAGCGTTTCAACTCAGACGACATACTCAAGGACGCTGTGAAGGACTGGGTCTCGTCACGGCCACAGGAATTCTGGGAACAAGGAATCCTACGGCTTGTTCATCAGTGGGATCGTTGTGCTCAGATCTATGGTGTATATTTTGAATAAAGTCTACATTTGTACCCACCGTGTCGTTTCGTACCTTTTCATTGGATCAACCCTTGTATTATATTCTTCATGTCATATTACATCAAACTATTAAATAACATACCAAAAAACAAAATAGTGCGTTTTTCTTTATTGATGACAATTACAAAGCATGCAATTCTCTTTTTAAATAAATACGATGTCGAGATAAGAGATATGAAATAAAACTTTAAAAATATAAATTTTAGAGTAAAATGCATTGTATATATACGTTTATTTTTTTCAATAAAAATAAGTTAATATTCGACTAGAATGGAGGGGAAGGATATTTAGACCGCGTCCATGGCAATGAAGGCGATAAGTAGGAATCCAGTCCCAATCAAATCACCAAAAGCTGTCAGATAAGGGATGGCAGCATCGTCGGGATCGAATCCCCATCTCCAGAGCCAGAGCACGAAGCAGTGTGCCATGTAGAGTAACAGTGCCACTTGCAATAGTGCAGCGACGAGGTAGAATAGTAGGAATTCTGCTGTGAGTGGAGTGTAGGTGCTTTTTAGGAAATGTACACAAGAGATGAAGATTAGATGACCGGGAATAGCCATGAGAATCAGAATGCGACAGGTTCGAGCATGGGAAGCTGAAATGTCAAAGCATTAAATATCAAAAAAAAATTTTTTTTAATATTAAACATGAAATTATTTTCAAATAAATGATCTTTTTAAAAGTTGTTCATTATAAAATATTCATTTTAATTTTAGCAGATAAATTTTTTTTCAGTAATTATTAATTATTTTACAAAATAATGCTTTTTAAAGTCGATAATTATAAAATATTCAAAAAAATTTTAACTGATAAAACATTTTTTAGTTATTATAATTGTTTTGCTAAATAATGTTTTTAAAAGTCGTTAATTATAAAATATTCAAATTAAATTAAACAGTTAAGAAATTTTTTTTTTAGTAATTTTAATTGTTTTATAAAATCATGTTTTTAAATGTAGTTAGTTATAAAATTAAAATAAATTTTAAAAGAAATTTGTTTTTGAAATTTTTTAAATTGTTTTATTAAATGATGTTTATTTTTAAAAGTCGACCATTATAAAATATTCTCTTACCAGATAAAAAATATATTTATTTCATTAATTTTAATTATTATTTTATTCGAAAATATTTTTTTGCCTTAAAAAGAGAAGCTAATTCTCTTCCAAAGATCTATAAATAAAAGCTTCAATATAAGCGAAATCTTTCGTTTCTCACAAGGTTTCTTAATCAATGTTTTTTCTGAAACGCATTAATAACAGTGTCTACTTAGAATCTGCACTGTAAAAGATTCCCGCTCAAATTCAGGTAAGAAGTATCGGCACTCAGGGTACCGTTGCTTTTCATCGTAAAATTCCTTTTTACATGTAACGGAGCAAAAAATCTAATATACTTTTATTTTTGCAGCAAGGATTACCGAAAAATTGTGAATCAGTCTAATTGAATAAATATTACTATAGAAATTACAGTAGAATTTCTATAGTAATACTTATTCAGACTGTTGTTGTTGTTGTAGTTCATTTACGTCGCATTAGAGCTGCACAATGGGCTATTGGCGACGGTCTGGGAAACATCCCTGAGGATGATCCGAAGACATGCCATCACAATTTTGATCCTCTGCAGAGAGGATAACAACCCCACTTCGGTAGCCTGACGACCTGCATGTGAAGTCGAGCACTTTACAGTAGAACAGTTTAACGAGGACCAATACCGCACACTGTCGGTCCCTACGCAGACTAATCCAAGCGGTCACCCTACCGCACACTGACAGCAGCCAGTGATGCTTGACTTCGGTGATCTGCTGGGAACCGTGTCTTAACTATCAGTTCACTGCGGGATTTTATTCAAACTGATTTACGGTAAAAATGAACTTTGCGGAAAAACACCCAATGTTCCGGCTATTTATATCTGAATTTGATCTGTAATTTTTTAGCATTGTGTATCCATCCACTAAGCATAAGTTGTTATACAAGTGTGTCTAAATATATAAAGTAGATCTGAGGCCTCCTACAGCGAACTTTATAGAAAACTGAGTAATTATCCTTCCTATTTAAAACATGGTGCAGGGTAATAAGAGAAAAAAAAATGGATTTCAAAGTTGTAAATCATAAGTTTATTAGCGATTCTTCACAACGAGACGTAAAGGAAAAAATGACGTAGAAAGGACACGCAAATTATTTTTTAAATACAAAGCTTAAGAGAAATTTGAGTAACGCAAATTAAGCTGTCTTGAAAAAGCTAACCGTGTTTTTTTTAAATTTAATTTCTAAGAACGTTTCGTAATCTAACAGAAATCACAAAAAAATTAATTGCGCGTTTTTAGTTGAAAATTTTTCTTCATATTATTATTAACGTCCAAAACGTAACAATTCGTAGTAAATCTACGAAATACTAAATCTAATACAGTTTTGTAGTTCAGTTTTCGCCCTTATTTCTAACAGCTTTCTAGGTAAGAACGCTAACTGTGCACACAGTTTTCCACCAGTTGGAGCTCTAAGCGGTTTCATCTCTTAGCGCATAACCCACTTACTATAGTTAGGCACTACTCTTATAAATATAGCTGCAGTCGTTCTACAGTTGAAAGCAGGAAATTAAAGTGGATTACTGGAAATTAAAGAAGGAAATTACTGGAAATTAAAGAAGGAAATTACTGAAGGAAATTACTGAAGGAAATTACTGGAAATTAAAGAAGGAAATTACTGGAAATTAAAGAAGATATTTAAAATTGTGAAATCGAGTATAAATGGAACAAATTAGAATAATCAGTTTATGTGTTGGCTATTCTTAATCCAACTAAAGGGAGGCAATAAAATTCCTTCTCTAAATAGTTATTCTTAATAAATAAAATAAACGTTAGTCACTGATGGCTGTAAATTGACTTACATTTTCCAAACCAAGCCTCTAAGGGACTAATGCAAAGTTTCTCACATTTCAATAAACCTGGCTTCATTTTTTGATGAAGATAAGTTGAAATTCTGCATGCTTGTACTGCAACTAAATTACCCCCAACACCTGTGAAAAAAGAATTACGAAAATTGGAATTTTAATAGCATATTTCAGTTAATTGAAATGTACTGCAGTTAAGGAAAAAAAATCCTTTTTAATAAATCAGTGAACTTGTATCAGTGCGTTTGTAACACAACCGGGAAAAATACTTTTCGGATTTTTTGTAATTTTATTAGGTTTTCATATTCAATTTGAGAGCTAGGGGAAGAACTATAATGGTAATTAGTGGATATTTTAAACTAGGATAAAAGCCTTCTTTAAGTAAAATATCCTCCAATTATACAATATGTTACTTTAAGAGTGTTCGCCTTCCAATGAGGCGAACCATGTTCGAATCCCAGTCTATACTAATTCCGCATCCGACTTGCACCGACCACACGTGAAATATCCTCAGGGGTAGACGGATCATGGGTTAGAGTCCCCTTGCCGTCAGGCTAATCGTGGGAGGTTCTCGTGGTCTTCCTCTCCATGTAAAGCAAATGCGGGTTAGCTCCATCAAAACGTCCTCCAAGAAGACAAATTTCTCCCAATACTCGATCCAAGAGTTCCCTTGTCTTCTGGATTGGGTTCAAAATTACAAGGCTACGAAGTCGAACATTGGAAGTCGAACATCGTAAACCCATAAAATTTGTCGGCTGTTCAACGACGGTTATAAAATAAAAATAAAATATGTTACTTTGTAAGCACTATAAATATTATTTTCCAATATAAAATTTGCTATATTGACAGCTAAATGATAGAAGCTAGCTAGAGCGAGTAATAATAGATTTTATATGGTATTAAGCTACTAACAAAGGGTAAGAAAAAACTAAAATCATTGCACAATTTTTCCAACTAGTAGTATTTAGTATTTGTCAATATAGTTCAGCGATGATTGGATGCCAGCAAGTGACGTCATTCTAGGTAAATCAAGGCATTTGTCGATTCAGAATCTAATCAAGTTCAACAGAGACGTGACGTCGCTACGGGTATCCAATTGAATCTGATTTAAATCAGTGGTTAGATATAATCACTTCACTTCTTCACGAGTTGCAAGTACTCAATTGTATGTACCAATTTGCAGATCTTATCGTCAATGTTCGTATTCGTATTGACCACTACTTTCAAAAATATTTTATGTTCTATGATTACGCTCTTAATTACTACAGGATATACAAAATTATATATTAAATATATTTACCGTTGATGACTGGCTGACAAGCTGCTAGTTCTTTGAATCTTGCAACAGCAAAATTTAGTATGTAACCACCGCCACTGAAAATAAAAAATAAGAATTTTCGTTTTAAGAATACTATGATCGTTTTCTTTATACATCTCACTAAAAAAAATCTATTGCTATTTGTTTTCAATTACTTTATTTTTAGCTTAAAAAGAGTTATTATATATAGTATATTTTTTCAGCTGACGAGAATTCGAAATCGTTTCGAGTTTAAAAATAAATGTCAAAACTATGTAAACCTGTAATATTTTGCGAATAATTTTTGCAACAAATAAGTTTAAATAAATTTAAAAATTTTTACGAAGAACATAGTTGTTGGAGCAAACTATTTTATAAATAGTGCGTATTTGAAATCGTTTTTAATCTTCTAGTTTAAAAAATATAAAATATCAATAACTTCTTATATAGTGAAATAAATTTCCACGCGCTAATAGTTCGTTTTAAAAAATCGAAACTTGATGTCTTAATAAACTTAATTCCTTAAATAAAATGCAGAATTTTCCTAGATCAAAGGGAATAATAATAGGCGACTCTAGAAAATAATTGTTTTGTTCGAAGATAGTACATTGAGAAAAAAGTATGGTAAAAGCTACAAGAATATGTGAAATTTACAGTGTTTCTGGCTCTATGGCTAAAAAGTTGGGCAATTTTTACCGAAACGTTTTGGTCATGATTTTAATAAAATTAAAAATAAAATATGGTTTTGTAATGCATTATAAAATTTGATAAATGTGTGAAATTTGATAATTTTGTCATGTTTCCTTAGAACATAGCATAAAAACCATTTATTCGGTTAAATTTACTTATCAGTTTATTATTTTATATTAAATGAGTGATAATAAGAGCTAAAATTTTGAAAGCCAGAATTTCCGATAAGCAATTACCATATAATCTGAAAAATTACCAAGTAAATGGTTTAAATACCGTATATTTTGGTTTTATTAATCAGAATTATGAATTAATTTTTTTACATAAAATGTCAGTTCCATTTCGAACTGTAATTTTTTCAGAATTGTTTTCTATATGTATTATAAAACAAAATTGAAAAGAAAATTAAATTTTGGAAAACTGTCACGAATTATTCGTGACATAAAATTTTATATTCAATTTAATAAACCAAAAATTTCTAAACTAAATTAAAAATATTAGAAGCTGATGTGTTTTAAAACAAGAATTATGTGTTCTAAACTCACCTCGATATTGCAACTGCGCTGATGATAGGAATCCACCCGGAATAAAGAACATGCTTAGTGTAAATATTTTTGTAAGAAAGAACCGCCCATAATGGAATCAGACAAAAGAGACAAATCAGCAGAGCTGCTTCACCCCAAATGTATTCACCTGCAATGAAAGTTATTCCGAAAATTTATTTTTAAGTGATACAAAAAGTAATATCATTGATGTGCAGTGCGCCAAAAAAAATAAATAAAAAATGGACCACCCTGAATAACGTTTGATCTAATGATCGAATCATCACGTTCTAGGACTCGATCTCAATGATTCGAGCGAGTGAATCAGCAAACTAATATATGCAAATATCGAATATGCAAATTAATTAGTGCAGACGATATTTTAAGTTACGAAATCAGACACAAAAAAGTAGTTTCTTGGGATAAACATATCTTTCTTTCGACGAGTTCGGATTTCTGGTCCCCAAGATATAGGGGGTAGCCCCAATCTGGGAAATATGGTCCCAGACAGTTTGGGCAGGAGAGTGGTCCAAAGTTTGAACTTCTTAATGTTAATTTTACTTTTTTGCGTATTTCGTCATATCTCGAGAACTTTTTAAACAAATTAAAAACTTTTTGTACACAATTATAATATTCGTATTACCCAAAGGTAACTCCATGCATAAATAAATATCAGCAAATATTTATTATTTTTCTTATTTTATTTAATAAATAGTCGAAAAATTTTTAAATTATAAGATACAATACTTTACATCATTTTGAAAAATGTACTTTTGCATGGCAAAATACAAAATTTGAGTGAAATCAGTCGAATAGCTCATGAAAATGGAATTTTAAAAATACGATTTTTTTCAAAATTCGATTTGTCAGGAACTATTACATCGATTTCGCTCAAATTATGTATTTCGCCACTAAAAATTTTATTTTCTGAAGCGATGTAAAATATATGTTAACCTTACTTTAGAAAATTTTTACGACCATAATTGAAGAAAATAATAGAAAGATAAATTATTACAAAAGGTTACACTTTGCATGGAATTATCTTTGGATAAACGAATTTTATAACTGTGCGCAAAAAAAATTAGCTTAAAAAGAACTCGAGATATGGTGAAATATACAAAAAGTAAAATTAACATTAAGGGGCCAAGCTATCAAATATAACGCTCTCCTATCCAAACTATGGATACTCTATTTCTCTGAGTTTTCTGAGCTTTATTCTGAGGGCTCGAAATCCATATCCGTCAAAAGAAAGGCATGTTTATTCAGCGAAAGTACGTTTTTGAGTTTGATTTCGTAAATTAAAATATTGTCTGCATTAATTAATAAGTATATTGAAGGTCACCCTCGAACCTTTAAGATTGAGTCCTAGAACATAAAGATCCAATCATATCATTAGGTCAAAAGTTATACAGTGTGGTCCGTTTTTTTTTTCTCTGGCTCACTGTACATTATGTTCTTTAAATTGTTCAGATTAGTCAAACACTTAATGCAAAGAAAGAGTCTGAACCATCACGGCTCTTGGCATATATTTGCATTTTCTTCTAAATTGACACTTAATTTTCAATATGAAACAGGTTTAAAAAGATTTCCTCATTACAAAAAAAAAAAAAAAAAAAAAAAAAAAAAATTATGAAAAATTTGCAAACTGTCCGCTCTATGTTATCGATATACATGCTTTGGAAGTAGCTTCTTTCGGATTAAATAAACCTTTTTTAAAAACTTTTTATTTATTTTTCTTGGCATATACTTGTATTTTCCTTTAACTTTCCTTATTACAAAAAATTATAAAAAATTTGCAAACTGTCCGCTTTATGTTATCGATATACATGCTTTGAAAGTAGCTTCTTTCGGATTAAATAAACCTTTTTTCAAGAACTTTTTATTTGTTTTTCTTGACATATATTTGTATTTTCTTTCAAATTGACTATCACTTTTTAATATGAAATAATTTTAAAAAGCTTTCCTCATTACAAAAAATTATAAAAAATTTGCAAACTGTTCGCTCTATGTTATCGATATACATGCTTTGAAAGTAGCTTTTTTCGGATTAAATAAACCTTTTTCAAAAACTTTTTATCTATTTGTCTTGGCATATATTTACATTTTCTTTTAAATTGACACTCACTTTTTAATTTAAAATAAGTTTCATTTCAATGTCTTCCTTGCAAGAAATTCGCAAATTGTCCACCTCTATGTTATTGATATATGTACGCTGGTATTTAGTTATTCATTCGTTACGTTTCTTAAAAGTGGACATAATTATAGTTCTTCTCCCTTCATCATATGAATAATATATATTAAATAAAAGGTAATTGAGTTAGACATATCTGAAAATTTTTTGAATGTTGATTATTTTGTACAGAAACTTTCTGTGGGAAATAAAATTATAATAAAAATAACTCTTGATAAAAGCATATAATGTATGCATAATAGTATTCTTAATTTCAAAATTTTTAATGAGTAGAATTTAGAACGAGCGCATTAAAATGTACAAAAAAATACTACCAAACATAATATTTGAAGTTTTTTTTTAAATAAATAATTTTCCTACGGTTTTTTAAAATAAAGTTTCATTGAATGCCATATTATAATGCCATAAGTTTTATAAATGCCATATAGATTATATAATTGAACGCCATAAGTTTTATAAATGCAATATTGAACTATATTCAATATTCTTTTGAAGTAAAAAAATCAATCTTCAAACAATCACGTCAAGCAATTTATTTCTTAACAAGTTTAAAACTAAAGTAATATTTCTTAATAAAATCCTTTCTAGCAAATTGTCAACAAAATAATGTGAAAACAACTGAGGGTATCTTGTTAGAGTAACGGCTTAAGTTATTTACCTGATCTTTCAAATATAAAAGTAGAGATGTAAGCAAGAAGTGCTAGAGTTACAACGTCCCCTAGAGATGCAGCTATTGGTGCAGCTACGTTATCTGGATTGACATTAATTTTGCGTGAAAAAATCACCACACAAATTGTCACAGTACCTGAAAGAAGTAAAAGTATACATAATTTAACATTAATAATCTTCATTATTAGTGAATTATTAAGAAATAATGAACTTATTAGTAAATATTAAGCAAATAATCGCAAGAAACTGATGTGATAAGGTATTACTTGAATAAAATCTTCATTCGATTCAAAAATATATAATCTAGTCAAAAATATATAATCTGGTCAAAAATATATAATCTAGTCAAAAATATATAATCTAGTCAAAAATATATAATTTAGTCGAAAATATATAATCTAGTCAAAAATATACATGTTTCTAGCTCTCATGAACAGGTACCCAATTTCAAGACGTGCCAGACCTTCATCTTTGCCTCCTGTTATTTCCAATTTATATTGTTTTGAAGAGAAGGAAGTTTTTGATGAAGTAATTAGAAAATGTCTAATTAATAATGACTAATTAAGATATGAATTAATTAATTCGAATCTCCTAATTAATATTAGACGTTACTGTCCAACATTGTCCTCTGAAAATAGTAATCATATCTTATTTAATTACAAAACAAAAATAAATAAATAAAAAGATCACATACATTTTGTCTTATTTTTCAAGAATGTTGAGCTATCAAAACTATTTATATATTTACCAAATATTATATATTCTCCAACAAATGAAGTGTGATAAAAATTATATTTCGTTTCACAGTTTCAAAAATTTTCTTCAATTATTAAAACGAGTAGTTATGTAATCTTAGAAAGTACTATATATTGATGAAGCGTTAATGTAAAACGCTTATTATTATTTTATCAGAAGATTTGTAGTTATTTTATCACTTTGTTTTTCATATTTTAAAAAGATAATATAGACCAACTGTTTGAAACATAATGTTCTGTATGTACAGTGCGTCAAAAAGAACTCAATTTTAAAAGCTAGAGGGGATGGCCTCAAATATGCTAATTAATTAGTGTAGACGTTATTTTAAGTTACGAAATCAGACACAAAAACGTACTTTCTCTCAATAAACATACCCTTTTTTCGACGGATTCAGATTTCTGACCTCTGTGATCTGGAATATATGGTCCCATGAGTTTGGTCAGGAGATTTTACTTTTTTTTAATTTTGCTTTTTTCGCTATATCTCGAAAACTTTTAAACCTAATTTCAAAATTTTTGCATTCAACAATAAAATTTGCTTGCCCAAAGATAATTCATTGCAAAAAATAATTTTTAGTAAATGTTTATTATTTTTTGTAATTTCATTTAAGAATGGTAAAAAATTTTTGACTTGTAAGGTATACGATTATTTCCACTATTTTAAAGAAAGTTAACAAAATAAAAATTTGATCCAAATTGATTGAATAGTTCCTGAGAAATCGAATTTTAAATATCTGACTTTTTTGACATTTAATTTCTCAGAAACTATTCGACCTATTTCCCTCAAATTTGTAGTTTTCCATGTAAAATTACATTCTTTGAAATGATGCAAACAATTCAAAACTTCTTTGAAATGATGCTTTCAATTAAATTTTTTTACCAATCTTAAATTAAGTAATAAAAATTTATAAATATTTATTAAAAGTTATTTTTTGCATGGAATTATCTTTTGATCTTTTGGAACTATCTTAGTAAAATGGATAACACTGAGAACAATTTTTTATGTTCAGTATTATTTTGAAGTTAGAGTTAAGAATTCAGTATGTCTGACACAGTTTTCAAACAGTTATTGAATTGCTACTCTACTAAAACACAATGCCATGTTGTGCATTGGGTACTAAAATCAGTACCTTTTTTTCTCTGAGGACGGAATCCTTTTCACGGGATGATTGATACCTTTGAGAATTTTTGTAATCATGCCCCAAATTTAATTTATATTTTAGTTACTACACTTGAACTTTGAGCCTGCCTCCACAAAGGAAAACAAAAAAAGAACTGATTATATTCAATATACAAACTTAGCAGCAAATATTCCTATCAATGAGATTTGTAGTTCAAGTTCTTTTATCTTTCCGCCCTCGTTGCAATAAATAATTATCAGTTAAAAATTTATTCCAGAACGTCAGATATCGAGATTAGCACAACTAGGTAACCATCTGTTTTCAATGCGAAATTGAAGGAAGAGGTAGAGTTCAGACTTTTCTTTGTTAAGTTATCGTTTCGTATTTGAACAAAAAAAAATAACGTGAGATAAAACTTTTAGAGAAATTACATAATTTAAGCACCATCTAATCTAATGCTTCAAGTCAAACATATTTTAGAAGTTAGATAACACTTTTATAATTAGAAAAATTCTACGCACAATTACATTATGATATTATGTCTTTATGCTAAAAATGAATCCAATTAATTTACAATTGATAAAGTATAAATTGGATATGAATATAAATTGGATATTGGGTTAAAGTATATCTCTTGTTCTCTTGAATAACTTTTTTATTTATTGATCAAACTTCATCTATGAGATATTTTAGATTGATAATATTGACATCTACTTAAATGTACAGTTGCATGATCAGATTGTAAAATAATTTAATAGAAATTTGTAAAAAAATTTTTTTTAAGGAGCAAAAGCAGCTTCCAAATTTTGTTATTACCCTTTTATTAACATATTTTCTTTTCGGAATTTTAAAAAAAAGTGATAATGCGTTATAAATCATATGGTGTTTTGCTTATTTTGATATTAACATTAGTTCAGTATACTTTCAATTAGTCAACATGAGGCATAAGCAAACACATGTCCTCGTGGTGCTAGTGTAGAAACATGGCGATGGAGCAATTTTGAACGTATTAACTTTTAACGGAAGAGAAATATGAATTGGTTAAAAAAATAACTCATTTTATGTTATTCATATTTTCAAAATAAGGATGGTTTTGCAGAATGATATATATTTACAATTAGTGGTTTGATTACTAAGCAAAATATTTAGAATGAAACTTTTATATTAATTCACTCTTTTGAAAGGTTTTAAGAAAATGAAAGGGATATGTTTTTCAAGTTTGTTAAAAGAACAGTTTGTTATTCATCAATTTCAAGTTTGTTATTCATCATAGATGAATAATTTTTGCCATACATTAAACTGAAACAGAACGGTGCCATCTTCTCTTGCCTGTTGTTTTCTTTGCTCCAATGAGGGAGATATCGATAAGCCACGCGCTCTGTGTCGATTCGAATCATGTAAAAACTATGGTTATTAAAATTAATTCAACTTAAAATTGGTTCCATGCTATCAAATAAAATTGAATAATGATTTTCAATTTTATTCATTTGCGTTTAAAATATCTTTATTAGTATAGCAAAATGCTGTATGAAAAATTAGTATTTTAGTTAATATATGTCAATATTTATTTTCCAAAAAGGTTAGATTGTAATTAATTTCATTTTGGCTTTAGATTTATCTTTTTGAGTTTAAAATAAATTACTACTTAATAAATTACCAAGTTTGTTCACTCTTGACTCATAGCTTATCTACATGAGTACCATGTATTTGTTAATTTTGTCAAAATCATGACCAGAGGCGCTTCAGTAAAAATTACCGAATTTTTTGTTGTTCCAGTAGAGCTAGAAACATGGTAAGTTTTACTATACTCTGGTAGTGTTGACTATACTATTTTTTCTGAGTGGGGTAATGACATTATATTACCAAATATTTTAATTAGTGCAAAGAGTTGGAAGTGGTAAACTATAATTGATTCACTTCATGCACAATAAACTCTATTCATTGTTATCATTTTGTATGAATCTTTTTTCCTAATTCAATTATTATGTTGCAAACTTGAAACAGAAGAATCATTTTATACCTAATAAGAAGCTTGCAATGGATGCTGTTACCAAACTGCTTGAAGCGAGTAGAAGAACATTGTGGAAGTTGAATTCTCCCTCTCTGATCCATCCCACAGCTGATGCAAACACCGATGATATCAGGCCAAGGACTAGAGATTGACACTATAAAAATAAGCATAATAAGAAAAGGAATAGAAACTTAATGATAAAACAAAGAGTTTGTTTTAAGGTAACATTTACGCATACGCTTATAAAGTAGCGGTACTTTGGATGCATCATCCGTAAAATACATTTTTATGGTAAAATATTATACCGTAATTTTTACAGTAATATTTATTTTATGAGTAATTCAGTGATATTACGGTAATAATTTTTATAAAATACTATAACGCTTGACATTAGACTAAATTTAAATTGAATCTCAATCTATATAACAGGTGCAATGAAGCCAGTGCATAAAAGATTTTGTATATTATTTTATCAAAAAAATGTCAAAATTGTAACACGAAATATAATAAAAATTATAAATAATCAACAACGTGGCAAAAACTGGCTGAAACAAAAATAAATAAATACTTTTAAATTTTTTCTGAGTGCAATATTATATCTTTTTATTTAAACTTTTTATATGCTTTTTTATATTTTTTGTACGTCATAAGTTTTGATTTTTATAATTTAAATATGAAGTAATTGAAATTTGGTATAATAAATCAATTTTATTCCAGTTTCTGATTTGTTTGTAACTGCATTAGTGTTACGCGTTAGCAATATCTTTTTTTACTGTTAAAAGTTTTTGGAAACAATGATAATTTTCATATGCTTTCGTGCCTGTCAAAAAGGCTTTTTTACCAATACGTATCTTTTTTCTGANTTGGATGACATCAGTTTTATTTGAAGACTATGTAAGAAAATTGGATAGGAAATTCTTCGCTAAAAAAAGAAAAGTGATACTCTTTTTGGATAAATGCACAGCGCATAGTGATCTACCTAATTTGAAAGCAGTAAACTTGCAGTTTCTCCCGCCAAACACAACAGCAAAGTTGCAGCCGATGGATCAGGGTATCATAAAGTGCTTCAACAGTCTTATCGTAAATGGCTTGTCAGAAAAATGATCTTAAATATTGTAAGCATTTAGCAGATTTGTAATTAATAAGCATTAATTAAATAATCCGACAATATTTTGAAAGTCCAAAACCTAAACTAACGGTAAGTCGAACTTCCGATTTGTCGAAGTTTTTCGTCAGTCCTATCAGATTCGAGTTATCGCGAATTCACTATACCTATATTGCCCAAAAGCAGTCAAAACGACTGGATTGTAAAAGAATAAATAATGTGTAAAGAAATTTGTTTAAAATTAATTTTTAGTATTTTTTATATTATTCACAGTTATATAACGAGTTATTAGTAAATATTAACAATAAAAAAATACATGTTGTACAAAATTCTAAGAAATTGTGTCATTATATACATCATTTTCCTTCTAATTGAAACTAAAAGCAGACAAGATAACTTCCTTAGGCAATCTAGTGTTAATGATAAAACATAGTGTTTGTTTTAAGGTTACATTTACGCATACGCTTATGAAGCAGCTGCACTTTGGGTGTATTATCCTTAAAATCTATTTTTATCGTAAAATATTACATCGTAATTTTTACAGTAATATGTATTTTGTGAGTAATTCAGGGATTTTACTATAATCATTACTATAAAAATTACGGTATATCAGATTTTAACTGCGAAAAGTTACCGACACCCTGAGTGCGGGAAAAGTGTGTACAGTGTAGTACAGTGTACTTTACTATACTATTGTAGTATAGTGTACTTCAGACATCCACAATTACAAAATAAACGTTAAAATATTATAAAGCTTGGCATTAGACTGAATTATATTAAGTATGTAAATCTTATATTATTGCTGCAATGAAGCCAGTGCATAAAAGAATGCGTAGTTATGTTTTTTTATGAAACAAATGTCAAAATTGTAGTACAAAATGTAATAAAAATTATAAATAGTCAAGAATGTGGGAAAAACTAGCTAAAATAAAAATAAGAGTAAACTTTTCAATTTTTTCTAACTGCAGAATTACATTTTATATATTGAACGTTTTTTAAATTTTTTAGTCACTGACGTTTTGTTCTCAAGAAAAGGGTATTGCACTCACGTCATAAGTTTTACTTTCTATAATTTTAATATGAAGTAATTGAAATTTGGTAAAATAAATCAATTTTATTGCAGTTTCTGATTTGTTTGTAACTGCATTAGAGTTGCGCATTAGCAATATATTTTTTTACTGTTTAAAGTTTTGGAAGCAGTAATCTCCATTTGTTTTCATGCTTATCAAAAAAGCTTTTTTAAAAATACGTATCTTTTTTTTGCAAAATAATAAATAATGTATAGCTATTTTTAATCTATTGTTTCTCAGATTTTCCTTAGAAATATGATTATAAAATACTATTTTAAACTGTAAAAATATCATGTAAGCGTAATAAAAAGTAATTGTGAAATTGTTCAATCTTACTTGTAATAAACATATGTTTCCAAGGGCCATTCTCCATTGCTCTCTTGAAGTGTCAATGCTTCCTAAATTTGCCTAAAATAATAATTTATATGTATAGCAGATGTATACCTTAAGAGTATTGCATATGTTGAAAAGTATTGTACTCCTATGGACAGACAGAATACATAATTACAATAAAATATGAAAAAAAAATTATAAAAAGTGTGTTTTTACTTAGAACTATTTTTGGATAAACGAATTTTAAAATTGTTTCAAATTTTTTTTATTTGCTTGAAAAGTGGCGAATTTGCTAGATAGTAAATTCAGCAGAAAGTGAATTTTAAAAAAATACGATTTTTCTTTCGGATTCTGTATAATAAGCTCAAATATATTAGTATATTTCAGTTCATCTATTTGAATCATTAAGATCAGCAACCAGTTTGTACAAATCCGATCATTAAAACAAAGGTTACTCACGGAGATATCTTTTTCTGTTTTGCTCACTGTTCTTTTTAAACGTCATAAGTGTGACACGTTTATGAAGTTTCTGTAGCGATTTGTAACGTTTGGGGGATAGAATATTTGTATTAATTAAGAAGTAGAAATGTTAAAAACATAAATAATGTGGGTGATGCTTATGTTATGGGTGTGGCAATGATATTTAAAGAATAAGGAATGCTAAATCTAAACTCCTATAGTTTGTTTAACATCTTGACATATTTTTACAGCACACCCCAACTTTATCCGTGAGGAACCATCCTACATCGAGCGAGTTGAACTATGGATAACATCTGGGCTATAGTGCTCTATTTCTTTTCCCGCTGTGTTTACCTAAGCTGTAGTTGTAAAATAAATGTCTAATTTTGTTATTTATAGATTTGTTCTTTTGAATAATTTAAAAAATATAGGTAGTTTTCCGAATGTTGCTACTAACTTACCACTTCATTTTCTGTTCTTGCGTGTCATTACCCGTTTCCAGTAATTGGTATCAATTAATAATATATAGCCTATATTTATAGATAAGCTATGCATTTTTATTTTAAATTGGTAATATTCTGTTTGTTTTAGTTTTAAAATGGTTTTCTGACTTGTTAACGAAATTAAAATCTCTTAAAGATCCCATTTGTGAATATTGTTAGGATATCTTTAATGGTATCAAAAGTTAATTTATAATTTAATTCAACTTATTTAATTTAATTTATTTAATTTTATTTTTATTCTAATTTGATTGTTTATTTAATTGCCTTTTCTTATACTTAAAGTAAAGAGTTAAGATTAAATGGATTTCCGGTCCTACTCTGTTTTTGGTAAACACCGGTTTAGAGGGAAATTTGCTGACTCCTTTTAATAATTTATCGCAAATGCAGGAAGAGTAAGGTTTCGTTTCAGATAACTTTTGACTAACTGAGTTTAAAGTGTGGGAGGATCATTGCGCTCTTCTTTTTGAATCAGGATTAAAATATTTTAGTTTATTAAAAATATTTTAGTTTTGATTAGGTGTTGGCTTTTAACTAAATTATTAAAAATTATCACTCATTTTGTATATAAGTAGTAAAATTTTACATATATATATACCTTACGTATAAGTCATTTAAAATTTAAGTAAAATGTATGTTAGTTCTATTTTGAGACGTTAAATCTTGAACGCAGTCTCTTATATTTACCACTTTTACTTATGTACGGCAGGATTGCGACACATTTTAATCAACAATCCTACCATGGCTACACTGAGCAACAGAGTCACTTTTTAAAATTAAGATAAAGGGAACACGTGTGACAGATATTTTCGTCATCAAAAATTGATAAATCATTGATTGTCTCACATTGTTGGAGCTTTGGGAATAAATGTAACTTCAATAACAGCAAAGTTCTTTTCAACCCTGTCGTATCATCTTGTCGTATCATCCCTGTGGCTTGATGCTCTGGAATTATTCATTTCATATAGCATATATATTGCCTTGGTTTGATATTGAGTTGTTGAGTTGAATTGATTTCGGCAAGGTTAGAATTTGCTTTGAATAAATTTGGATACTTGTTTCGGATGAAGTCGGATTCCATTACTTTTTGCCAAAACTTTAATTTAGTCTTTTTTTCTTTTTTTTTCTTCTTATTTTTTTTAAAGGAAAATTGCACGTTTACTTACTAATGTCGAGATTCGAGAAGCTAATGTCATTTCAAGATTTCCTTTTAATCCTAATAGTGCTGGCACCATAACAAACATTTCTGGCACTTGGGTAAATACGTCCCAGCTCTAGAAATTAAAATTTGAAATTAACCCAAAGAAACATAAGATAGAGTAGAAATTAAAAATGAGAAATTTAGAGCCTCATTCTCAATATTTTTTCAAAAAAATTTGAAGCAATGTATTTCTAATCAAAATTTTACTTATGTGATTTATTAATATATTTTATAAACCAGATTTTGTATATTTTTACTTCATGAGATGTTTGAAATAAGAAAATACTTAAATGCTTTAATAAGCTTTTCTTCTTTGCTCAGTTTACATAAAGTTACTCGTTTACAAACTTTATTTATTAAAACAATTATTTAGTATTACATACTTTCCTTATTTTTTATTTATGAAATTTTTTTTCAATAATTTTCAGTTTCTTTTATCAGTAGCTTATGTGAAGTGCATATGCAGGAAGAACAAAATTATTTCAAAATTATTTCGTAACTTTTATTCTGGACTGTAAGGAAGAGTTAAATATTAGGTTCTAGTATGTTGAGTTACTTAAAAGCATTTAAAGAGTAGAGAGTTTATCCCAAAAAGACTAGCAAGTAAAGAAAACTTTTATGATGTTTAAATATAATTTTGATCCTTGTTAGCCCTTTATCCGTAAATTTTCTAAAAAAAACAGAAGAAAAATAATAAAAGTGATAATGAATATTACTTTAAATAATAAGTACTTTGAGAATAAAAGTTAGATTTAAAATTTTAGGAAATTCAGAAACAATCAGAAATTTTTCAGTTTTATAATTTTTTTAACAGTTTTGTTATGAAATAAAATCATTTTCCCAGTTTTAAAAGAAATATAATCTGAAGAAGTTCTTCTTCTTGCAAAATAGTTTTTTAACAAAATATTTTGGCAAAGAAAATAAAATTTCTTACACTTCTAGAAAAATTGGTTCAAATCCTGATTGATAATATGATAATTAAAACTTCAAAAATCGTTTAAATTTGAGGCAACTTAACATATTATTATGTTCAGTTTTAATAGACACATCTTTGAACTGGTGTTAAAGTTAATTGATTATATGAATCATATGAATTATAATTAATTACATTAAAATGAATTTCATTTTTATACTACAATATTTTAGTTCAAATTTGAACACAGCATTATTGTAGCAGTTAGTTTCAACTTAATTAAAGTCGAACACACTGAGAGAAAAAAGTATGGTCAAAGGTTCCAGAATGTGGTAAAATGTACAGTGTTTCTGTCTCTATGGTAACGCCAAAAAGCTCGATAATTTTTATCGAGACGCTGTGGTAATGTGTTTGGTAAAATTAGCAATAATGTATGGTTTATTATATGTGATAAAATTTTGTAGTTTTTTCTTGATACTTTAGAGCATGGCATAAAAATAATTTATTCGGTTAAATTTATTTTCCAGCTTTGTATTTTTTACTAAATGTTAGGTAATAAGAACTATAATTTTGAAAAACAGAATTTCCGGTAAATCGTTAGAACATGAACGGAAAAATTTCAAAATGAATGGTTTAAATACCGTATGTTTTGTTTTTATAAACTAGAATTGTGTTTTATAACCAGAAGTTTGTTTTTATTAACCAGATTTTTTTAAAAATAGAAATGTCATTACCATACAGTGAGGTAATTTCACTAGAATTTTTTTCTCTTTTCACTATGTAACCCGTAATGAATCGCAATTATTCCATAATGAACTACATTACTATCCAAACTGTGTTCATTATATAATTTAGATTATGTTAATTTTAAGCTTGATAAAAGTGAACCAAGTTATCGGTTGGTTAAGTGTAAGAAATCGAAAACTTACTTGCACGATGTCTAATAAAAGGCCAGCAGCTACAGTGCCAAAACCAGCAATCATAAAAGGTATGAACACTTGGCAAGAAATAGAACAAATCGTCTCACTCTTTTCATCTTCATCGGTTTCTTTGATTTTAGGAACATCTTCTGGTGCTTTGGACAAAAGATTTTCACCGGGGATGGCACAGTAATCTAGTTTAGGTGGTAATGGTCCTAAAAATATACATCGTGGTGCATATTTTACAGCAATTATTAAGAAACAATTTAAGTCACTAAAAATTTTATTCCATCCTTCCTGGCATAACAGATGTTTCAAATTCATAAAAAAAGAACAATTCGGGAATGGGTTTTGAAAAAATTTTATTTCTAAGAAGAATCGAATATTAGGCAAAATATATGGTTTGAAACTAGAAGGTAATCGCAAAAAAGTCTTTTCTTTCAAAGCATTGTGTAAAACGCAATCAATTTATAACATAATATTTACTTCAGCAATCACTTATATTCACTTTACACGCCAAGGAGTTTTGAATAATGAACACGAGGAGTTTGAACAGCGGATATCTTTGCACGTGTAAGTGAGCTTTATTCGAAAGATTAACACTACAGCGAATTTCGTCTGAGTGAAACATCGGTGATAGTCATTAATTCGAACAGCTTTGACTTGTAATAACGTCTGGAAAAAAAATAAGGTGCCTAAGTTCTGTTGCAAACGTGTATAACAGCCTCACAGGAAGTTTTATATGAATGAATTTTTGTTATGTGTTGCATTATTTATTCTCACATTTGTTCTCATAATTTCACAATGGTTTCACATAGTCTTTAGTTATATCATCATGGGTTAAAGTATTTATTTTTCTCATAATTTTTTTTATAGTTTTCCTTGAGTTTTTTATTCATTCTTGCAGGAGTTATTATCTCTCTACAGAAAAAATTTCATATGTACGAGATGACTCAGATTATTAATAAAGTAAAACATCATAATTTTAACAAAAAGATTTTTTGTATTATTTAGAAAAGTAAATCTTAACATATTAATGCCGTATTCAGTTGCATAAGAAGAGTATAAATTTAACTCTATTATGAACTTACAGCAGTTATAAAAGTAGCATATTATTTGGTGTAAAGGGTTACATAACGAAATAGAATTCGAAAATCAGTTTTGAAGTGGATTGTCTCAAATTGCACTTGGGGTAAATGGGATTAAGCTAGTCCATTGACCACTAGTTGGTGTCTGAATTGGCTGATTCAATGCTTCAAACCTGAATCCTGGTTTGGCGGAGAATGTGGAAGCTTAGTTTACTCAAGATTTCATCACTGTCGCTTTTTTAACGCAGTTCACTCTTTAGATTCTTGGCAATAACCATAAAAGAAAAGGAGGCAAAATTTATCTTTTGTAATAAATAAATAAATATGAGCAATAGTTTTTTTTAACAGTGCTCTAATTAGGAAACTAATTATAAATTATTTCCAAACACTTGCCTTTTTAATTTAAAATGAGTCAGCTGTTTTAAAATAATTTTTTAAGAGATTAATATTAAACGTAGAGCTAATGCTAATTTCTGGTAAAATTAGCGAATTCTGCAGGATTCTATTTTAGTTATTTCTTTCATAACCGTCGTTGAACAGCCGACCCAATATTGAGTTTACGACTACCAATGTTCAACTCCGCAGCATTGTAATTTTTAACTTTTTTTTAACCAGAAGACAATGGAACTCCTGGATCGAGTATTAGGACAAACTACCCTTCTTGGAGAACTCTCTGGTGGAAGTAATGGGCATTTACGTTGCATAAAGAGGAAAACTATAAAAGCCTCCCATAGTTAATCCGACGGCAAGGGAATCCTAACCCATGTCAGCACTGTGGTTAGTGCGAGCCGAGTGCAGAATTTATATTGACCAGCCGTCACTGATATTAGAATCTTGGTCACCCCATTTGGAGGCAAGTGCTATACCCCCTGAGCCACCACGACTCTGCAGGATTCTATTCTACCATCCAGGTTGCTCGGTATCAGCTGGTCATATTCTATTACCACTCACATGCGGCAATCCAGTAACCTATGCTTTGACAAAAGCCGTAGACATGACTGACAGCTGCGAAATCTTGCGAGGGCCGATTATTTGCTTCTACTGCTTACCTCAATTAAAGCACGTTTTTATTTTCTTCTGCAGATTTATTGTAATGCACTAACAAAGAAATTTTTTCCCTATTATCCAGTTTCAATTGTCTTAAAATAACTGCAAATGCAATTTTTAAGATTATGTAGCTAATGGAAGTTTGTTACCTTTTTGCAGAAGAGGTGATGTTTCAGTTTGGAAAGATTGGGATTGGATCCAGAATTCCAGAGGACACTGCAAATTTCCAGGGGCAGTAATGGGTGTGGGTATTGGTTGTCCTGCTCCTACTGTTGCGCTAATCTGACGAACCAAAGCAACCCTGGTCTGGGGGTTGTCGCTGTTGTGTACGTCAATTATTTCACCTGTCATTTTTGGTGCAGAATTCATCAGTCTACGATGTCACCTTTTTAATCAGTTTATCCCTTATCTCGCTCCTTTGCCTGAACGTCTCCGAATTCCCCTTGAACGGCCAGCTTAGTAATATCTAAACAGTAAAAGCTATTATTACGAAATGAAAAAAATATGAATAATTATTATATAATAGTAACTTCTAATTTATTGTTATTGAGTTTCCGACAATAATATATAATTTTTGATTTTATGATCCTTTTTTTTATACAAAAACCTTTAAGGATAATTTCTGTTCGGTTCATTTTCGAATCTTTGCATTAGCATTAACTTAAACATCTTAATTTGAAATCCCACCTTTTTGGGAGTTCCGGAAAAATGTTTATTGCTCAATTTCTATTTACCATAAAGAATTACGATTTTTCAATGTTTTTATTTTCAATGTTTTTCATTTGAAATGTTTGTAATTTAATTATTATTGCGCGAAACTTTAGTTTATAATTTTACAGAAACTTCTTGATTTTTGGGGAGTTTGATATGCTTTAAAAATAAATACAAATGCGCTTTGAGGAACATGTATTTATTTTAAGTACACGAATACAATTTACTTAATAATACACTTTCATAAAAATTTATTTCAACCCTAATATGAGATGAAAAATGTTACCCATGATATCAGGTGAATTTGCTACAGATTTAATAAAATTTAGTAGTGTTTATTTTGATTTAAACGAGTGTACTATAATAATACAGTTGAAAAAAAAGGATTAATTTAAACGATAATATATTGGATACCTTACTAATGTTTCTGCAAATTGAGAAAAATATTATGGTGGAATTTGATTTTCAGCTAAAATCTTTTTTGTAGCAGTTTTTCAGAAAAATCAGTTTGTTGTTAAACCACAAAATTGGTACATTGAATCACATTTCATACATATGTGATGAAACCTTAATAAGCTGTTGAACTAAACTATGTTTCAGTTCAATTGCGAAATCAAGTTTAAAAAGTTCGATAATATGGTTCCTCTTAGCAGATTTAAATTGGTACTATATTAAGACTATAATAAGTTTGATCAATATTACGGTTCATTATACAGCAAATTTCTAACTATGTGTATTTTTTTGGAAAAAATGCAAGTACTACAAAAATTAAGGTCTACTATAAGTTGCTAGTTGCAGTGGAAGTTCTTTAAAAGCAATGTAAGGCCATAGAGTTTTTTGAAATTGTTAGCGGGACATATATGTCCCGGTAGGGACGAAACAAAAGCCCGGTGGCTGAGTGGTAGTGCTTTGCGCTCCCGTGCCACAGGTCCTGGGTTCGATCCTCGGGCCTGGCAAGGTTGACTCAACCTTTCATCACTTCAGTGGGTCGATAAATGAGTACCAAGCATGCTTGGGAACTAAACACTGGGGGTTCCGCGTTCGGCTGACCGCCTAACCAGAACATATGTTCCTGCACCCCAGAGCCCAAGGTCAAGAAAAGAGTAGGCCATGGCCCTCTATGGGCTGTCACGTCACTGAGTTTAGTTTAGTTTAGGGACGAAAGGGCAATGTTAATTTGTGCTTCTCAAATTGCTTTTTTCTTCTTCAATACACTTTTTAAATATTCGTTTCACTATGCTGCTTAATGTCCGTAAATTGAGCCACAATACAGGGTTATTCATAATTCCCTCCGGGCAGAAACTGGACTATCGCATTGATGTATACCGTGTGACCAAGGGTTCACACATAGAACACCTGTAATGTATGTAAGTAAAACTTGAATAGTTTCGGAATAATTTCACAGGTTTCTTTTTTTCATATTCGTCTTCTTCTTTTTTTTTTAACTCTAACGCTTCGAAACCTCGGAGGGAATTATGAATAACCCAGTTTAGTGTAAATTTGATGCAAACTCCAGAAGCGTTTTGGATTGCATTTCTTAAAAAACAAATTGCATAAACAAATTCCAAAAAAAGGAGCAAATTGCGTAGTAATAAATGAAAAATATTATACTTACTTGGCACTTTAACCTCGAGAAACACAAAAAAACGCACTTAATATAATTTACTTAAAAATTTAATTTAAACCTTGTGCTGTGCTGGACAGTAGCAAAACAAGTTTGTAGGATCCAACGTTTCTTGCTCCCTTGCTTTTTCAATGCAAGTTACGTACAAAACAAATGAAGAGTAGTGCTTTTGGACCATCGGAATGGACAATATTTTTAACAGAGCGTCTAAAAAGGACACCTCTCTCAACGGAATTAAGATTTATACTAATGATTGAAAGTCCCCGGAACAAAATGAGAAAAGTGATAACTTCGAACAGCTATCAGGTAACCCGGGGTGATGTGACGCTGATATTGTGTCAACACCTGACTAAACATTGAAATTAAATCCGACGCATTTATGGGAAAAGTCGCTCATATCAGGTCACATATGCTACGAAGTTATTTTGAATAGTTAAGTAATTTATTACGTTTGTTATTACGTTATTGGTCTAGTTTGATAAACTATCTTGTCAGTAGAATGTATTTAATAAATTCAAGTTCACTTGAAATTCTCTCGTTTAAGGATTTATATATGTACAACTCATTTTATTCTTTCTAAATTGAATAGTTTTTCTTCTTCTTTTGTTTCACTCCTTTTGNTGAAAGTGTATCACGAACATATTTCCTCTTCTTTACATTTTTTTTCTATTAGAATGTGATGCATATTTGATGATATTGAATTAGATTCTGAATTTCATTTTTCTCTATTTTGTTCTGATTTATTCTTTATTCTATTATTTTGCATTCCCTTTTCTTCAGAGAAAAATTTAGAATTTCCATCAAAAAATTTCCCGCTCTCTTTTTTTCATAGAAAAATCTATTGTGACTAGTTTTTTTAAATTTTATTCTTAGAGAGATAAAAAGGAAGCGGAAGAAAGTTGATAATGGAAAAGCGGTGTCTCTAAGTTAGTTAAAAAAAGTAAAAAAAAATTACAAAACAAAAAAAAAATAGAAAATGATTTCAAGTTCTAATGTTTAGAAAGAATTTAAAGTAAAAAGAATAAATTGTTTGCGTTTATCATGTAATATAAATGTTGTTTTAAAAGTTTAAGAATGTTAATTCATATATAATCAAACATTTACTACAAAATTTTGCACCAAATATTTCACAAGTATGGTACGAAATTTGCATAATCTAAAAATTATTTCTGGCATCAACTTTTTTTTTAATCGAAAGTCATTGATATGTTTTATTATATTGGGAGAGCCCTCTTCAACAATAAAAGTAATGATTCAGGCCAACACCCTAGTACAGGGATGGTGAATATATACACTATTTTGAGTACGCTACCCATCACAAAGTTCACTATGAAGCATATTAACAATTAAATTAAAATTCACAATAAACAAACAAAAGAAAAAACAATTTTTAACCAAATAATTAACAATTAATGTCAAAAAAACAATTAATAAGTATAAAAAGCAAGCTAACGATTAATAACTAGCAAAAAATTAACAGTAATGCTTGAACTAGCATCTTACAACCTAATATAAGTTATTTGTCATCTAATCTGCAACAACAGAAGCCACACTGATGTTACTTTAAGTTGAACTACGCATATAACTGAGTCATTGCAAAATGTATTATTTTTCATAGTAAATAAAGAGTTTTGAGTTGATAGTATTTTATTTTCCCAATAATCACGAAGTCAAAATTATTTGACGGCACGTCTATGGCCTCACTAAGCAATTGTTCAGAGAAAATGGCACGCTGGTGCATAAAGGTTCTCCACCCCTGCCCTAATGTATCAGTCTTTGCTCCTTGATCGCGAATTTGAAGTATTGTTTGTTTACGAACAAACAATACTTCAAATTAAATTAGATTTCATGTTAGACTTCAGACTTGAGTCATTCACTTCTGTCCACTTAAAATTGAAAACTCCTGAATGTAATTTTAGTTCATATAGATTAAATAAATTAGAATTAAAGTGGATGCAAACGCAAGAATATTGCCATAATTTTAATTTTACCCTCTGTTACAATCTGGATAAGGATCCAAATGTTAGTTTTATGGTGCATATCAGCAATCAATGCCAATATTAAATTGAAATAAAATATAAATCTTAACGTTGACGAATATTTGTTCATAAACAAATAATACTTCAGATCCATAATAAATTTTAATGACTACTTATCAAATTTAAACTTAAAAGAAATTAAAGAATATGGATTACAAACAATCTAATTTAGCATAATACTTAGTCGCTAAATTACATCATAATATTTAAGACGAGTTTTAATTTTAAGACGAGTAAGAATTGCATTATAGATAATGCGTCCTTTTAAAGTAGTAAAACGTTCCAACATTGATAATTCTCTCTTAAGAAAATAAGGTTTTTTTGAGTCACAAATATATTTCAATATTATAAATGTGGTATTTATTAAAAGCTATTAAATTTATGCAATTGCTTTTAATGTATTAGGTAATTACTTAACAGGAATTACAATTCATTAAAGTTCCGAGAATATGTTTTTTATAAATTAGGTGAAGTAGTTTTTTTGCATGGTATTATATATTACTTTTAAAGAAAGTTAATTGAACTTTTTTGAGAGTTAAAAAAAATCTCATTGTGTTTTATTCAAGTTTTCGACCTGAAATAAATTATGATGAGAATATTAAATTTCAATTAGTTTATTAAAAGTATTGAGATATGTGAAACAACGTGCAAAATTTTAAAATCCTTGAATAAGTAGAGCTTTAAACAATAGTTACATAAGATGTTAACAAATGTCGACACACATAAAAAATAACTGCAAAAACAAAATAACTCGTATATGTTTCTGAACATGTAAAAATAATTGTGATTTTAACTGAATAATATTAATAAATACGTTTTTTATAAATATAATATTGAAAATATTGAAATACAATTACTAGTGAAAATAATAGTTTCCCATGCGTAAAAAATATAAATTCATTGCCTTAATCTTAAGTGTTACTTTAAGATTCGACGCTGATGCGTAATCAAACGTGAATATCATATCAGATAGCTTTTATTTTTATCACAATAGAATTCTGCTACTTCGCAGTGACAAAATCTGCCCCTTGTCCCTTATTTGAAAAAAGCTCTTAAAAGCAGATAGAGTAACGAAAATATCTGAATGAAATAATCGACTTAAAAAAATGACAACAGTCTATAATTAATTGAAAATATATTGTTTTCCGGAATAAGTATGATTGAATGGGAAAAACGTAGAACATTGGGTTTTGGAACAAGTTCAAATTTGTTGATCTGAATGTTCTGACTGATAAGTAATGGATGGTTATTGTTTTAATATGTTTCTAGAACTCTGATAAGATTGCTAGAATCACTGGCTTCTATAAAGATTCACACTAATCAGGGATCAGCTCATTATCATAAATTGCATTTATCATCAGGTTTTATTGTATTTTAAAGCATATTATAACAATGAAAATAAATGCATTTTAAGAAACTGTGTGTACAACAGTTTAAAAAAGAACCGTATTTGCCAGGGCTCGAAAAAACTCAGAAATTTTACCCGTCCCCGAGGACGGCTTGTCCAACAATGTACCCGTCCTCCTTTAAAACTAACCCGTAGCTTCTAAATAAATAAAAATATAATTTTCTCTTATTTANACCAACTCTTGGAACTACTTACAATGCAGTATTGTTTGTCTGCGAACAAACAATTCTTCAAATTAAATTAGATTTCATATTAGACTTTAGACTTGGGTCATTCACTTCTGCCTACTTAAAATTTAAAACTCGTGAATGAAATTTCAGTTAGTATAGATTAAATAAATTAGAATTAAAGTGGATGCAAAAGCAAGAATATAAATTAGTAAAGTCATACTAATATTTTTGCTATAATTTTTATTTTACCCTCTGTTGCAATCTGGATAATGATCCAAATATTGCTTTTATAGTGCATATCAGCAATCAATGCGCCAATATTAAATTAAAATAAAATGGAAATTTTAGTTGTGATGAATATTTGTTCATAAACAAATAATACTTCAGATCCATAACATATTTTTTGACTACTTATCAAAATTAAAGAATATGGATTATGAACAATCTAATTCAGCATAACATTTATTTGCTAAATTATATCGTACTATTTAAGATGAGTTTTATTTTAAAGAAATGTATTATAAATAATGTGTCCTTTTAAAGTTGTAAGACGTTCCAAGATTAATAATTTTCTCTTAAGAAAATTAAGTTTTTTTTTGAGTTACAAATATATTTCACTATTATCAATGGGGTATTTATTAAAAGTTATTAAATTTATGCAATTACTTTTATTGTATTATGCAATTACTTTTAACAAGAATTACAATTCATTAAAGTTACGAGAACATATTTTTTAAAAATTAGGTGAAGTAGTTTTTTTCATAGTATTATATACTACTTTTATAGAGAAGGTAATTTAAGAAAACCTCATTGTGTTTTACTCAAATTTTTGACCTGAAATAAATTATGATGTGAATATTAAATTTCAATTAATTTATTAAAAGTATTGAGATATGTAAAACAACGTGCAAAATTTTAAAATCATTGAATAAGTTGAACTTTAAACAATAGTTACAAAAGATGTTAAAAAATGTCGACGCATATAAAAAATAACTATGAAAACAAAATAACTCATACATGTTTCTGAACATATAAAAGTAAATCTGATTTCAACTGAATAATATTAATAAATACATTTTTTATAATATAATTTTGAAAATATTGAAATACAATTACTAGTGAAAATAATATTTTCTCATGCTTAAAAAAATATAAATTCATTGCCTTAATCTTAAGTGTTGCTATAAGATTCGACGTTGATGCGCAATCAAACGTGAATATCATATCAGATAGCTTTTATTTTTATCACAATAGAATTCTGCTATTTCGCAGTGACAAAATCTGCCCCTTGTCCCTTATTTGAAAAAAGCTCTTAAAAGTAGATAGAGTAACGAAAATATCTGAATGAAATAATCGACTTAAAAAAATGACAGCAGACTATAATTAATTGAAAATGTATTGTTTTCCGGAATAAGTATGACTGAATGGGAAAAACGTAGAACATTGTGTTTTGGAACAAGTTCAGATTTGTTGATCTGAATGTTCTTGACTGATAAGTAATGGATGGTTATTGTTTTAATATGTTTCTAGAACTCTGATAAGATTGCTAGAATCACTGGCTTCTATAAAGATTCACACTAATCAGGGATCAGCTCATTATCATAAATTGCATTTATCATCAGGTTTTATTGTATTTTAAAGCATATTATAACAATGAAAATAAATGCATTTTAAGAAACTGTGTGTACAACAGTTTAAAAAA